GTCAAAATTACTATTTTGAACTGTAGGCATTAATCAGCGATTCTGCCAATGACGGAGAGATAAAATCTAGGTCGGGGACGACCCATGACCTCAAGACTTTTTTTCCCTTACGTCACCTTGCCCATGTCTACGAATTTACGTTTTCCATTTATTTAAATTACATTATTATGAAAATAAAAACAATTGATTACAGCTTACGAAAATACCCCTTGCCGAATGTGAGAAGTTCATTTTGATTAACAAATGCCAACACAAAATACTACAGCCTGAAACATTGCATGTAAGTTGATAATAACCAAATATATAGAGTGTGAAATACTGACTGGGATTGAATAAACGGCACACATCCTGCTTGACAACTTTGTAATATGAAAACAAAACATGCTATTTATGCCCCTGGATGCCGATTTGTTAATAAAGAACTGATAAACGTAGTGTAAAAGTTTTACTTGAAATAACAATTATGAGAGCTATTTAGATTTGAACTTCCCTGGTAAACTGAAAAACACAAGTGGAGATAATGGCTAATTTGCAACCATTCATTCACTCAGAATGAAGTTTGCTAGTGCTCACAATTAAAATGGCTGTAAGAGTCCCAAATTTAAACATATTATTGTTTTGTAAAAAGTTAAATAAAGTGCATAATATAGAGATCCCGTCAATACTTTTGTTCACCATGTCCCTTTTTTAGCTCCGTGGTCGACTTTGGTTTTAGCTGTGGCAGATTTGTGTATCGTTGTCATAGAGATGGGTTGAACCGCGTTCAGTTAATGCTTTGATGGATGGACGATGGACAGTCATTTCTAACTTTCATTCGTTAGGCCTAAGATGGGAACGCCTATTTCATAAATTTTCAGTATGGGCCTCTTATTTGTTGACAAATAATTCAAAGCCATTGAAAATGTCACAACCCTTCTGTTTTTGTACAATTCGATTAAAATAAGATCTTAGTTAGGGCTGCTGTGAAATACAATTTAGTTTATGTTTATATGTATATATATATATTGGAATTAATTTGCTTGGGCGGCGGTCACGCATCAATAACTTTCATTCTTTTAGCCCGGGGGGTGGGTGGTACATGGCACGATTGGTTGAAATAATCGTCTTTAATATAAATTAATATTCACGAGTAATGAAAAACTCGTCTTTTCAGTACAATTGTGCCAAAATGCTTTCCGATAACATATATGATAGTTCTAAATTGACTGATTCTATCGTTACGAGCTGAAAAAAAATAATCGAAAAACTGATGTAAAGGTGATTTTTGAGACGTTTTCAATCAGACTCTAGCAAACTGTTGCACAGATTTTTTCTTTACCCTGATCATAGCAAGTTACGAAATTCGTGGAGAACGCAGAGGCACGTTTATATTTCACTCTAGTACTATTGCTCAAAATTTCTCACTATTTTTTCAGTGACTTTTTTCTAATTATTATGCATTTCGACAAACCACAATGTGTGTGCATGCGCAGTTTGAAATGGAGCAGTTTTGAACGCAATAAAATCACGTGTAGAACTCGGGCTCCAACAATAAATTGTGGTGTTAATCTGGCTGTCGGTCGAATAGTTTTGCAATAGACAGAATTTTGGAGCCTGTATTTTTCTATGAAATGTTTCTAAGTTTTGTTGAGGATTATTCTGTAAAGAAATTGCTGAAATTATTATCTGTTCGTAAAAGGGACTTTATTGCTTTGACGATAGGCTTCGGTCGACTGACTTCCAAACGTTCCATTCAGATCGGATGGCGCCCTCTCGTGCCAACCCCTCCCCCCGCTTTTTGCCTAAGATGAGGACGCTTATTTCATAAATCGTTAGTATGGACATCTTATTTAACGACAAATAATTCAAAGCCATTGAAAATGTCACAACCCCTCTGTCCTTGGACATTGAACATTTGGTTAAAATAAGATTCTAGTTAGAGCTGTTTTCAAATGTAATTTAGTTTTTTTTTTCATAAATTTTCATATATTCGAATTTATTTGCTGGTATTTTTTGAAGTTTTGGTAATTGCGAAAGCTCACTCATGAATAAAATTTTAACCAAATTATATTTCCAAAAAAAAAAAAACTCTAACTGCGACTTCATTTAATCATATTGGTACCAGTTCTACATTGAACAAATCACTCGGCTGCCAGACAATTTATTATGTGCGAGTCTCTATGTGGGCAAAATGTAAAACATGTATCGCAATTCCAAATTGTAGTGCAATGTTGGATAGTTATTTCAGATTTCGAGATTTTCGTCAAACAAAATGGCTACTAGGCGACCATCCTGAATGGATTGTAATCCTGAACAACCAGATTTATATATGTTATACACGCAGGGGTAATATTGTTAGACTGTTCAGGGAAGTCTCAACAACAATCCCAAAGTAGCGTTTTCTGTGAGTTTTCGGCATTTGTTTTCACTGCGACAGTCGCCATGCGGTGACAATGCCCGAATGTCCCCGAGAATAGGCAGAAATTTGTTAAAAAGACAAAAAATTTTGATTTGTGTCAAAAATAATAGCCAACAGTCGACCGACTTGGATTGAATTGTAACACAAATTAACTTTTGTTGATGTGCTAGAACACAATTGTCTGTAAACCAAGTTTGGGCATCATTCGACGGTGTGAATTTGAAATATAAGCATAATCGTCAATTTTTATCGAAAAAAATGGCTGCTGGTCAGCCATATTGCATAGAATCTCGACAAAAATCAACTTTCATCTTCATGAAATTGTATTACGATTGCGACATCGGAGTTTAATAGTACGTGTTCAACTCAACTATATGGAAACGGTGCACGAAACTGTCACATTCAAAACCAAAGCAAAATTTTGAATGTATGGCATAATTATTGAGAGTATATTTAAAGGCCGACTTGAATATTTTGAGGTAAGAAGCAACACTTTTTTTTGTTTTTGATCTAAGAATTGCATGCCTTCACGCTGAAAGTATACTACTGAACAAATTTTAATAAAACAGAGGAAATAAATCTGCGCTTCAATCGACCCGGTATTTATAGTCACAATGCAGTACATCTTGCAGTTGTAAATTAATTTGATTCTTAGTTGAAAAATGGATCAGCAATGAATATCAGAAAGTTTATATTCCCACACATTGTTCACATGATTCACCTATGTTAGAATGTTTATATTCACACACATTGTTCACATGATTCAGCTACGTTAGAATGTTGATATTCCCACACGTTGTTCACATGACTCAGCTATGTGAGGATGTTGATATTCTCGAAAATTGTTCAGGTGGGTCAGCTATGCTGGAATGTTGATATTCACACACATTGTTCACATGATTCAGCTATGTGAGAATGTTGATATTCTCGAAAATTGTTCACCTGGATCAGCTATGCTGGAATGTTGATATTCACACACATTGTTCACATGATTCAACTATGTGAGAATGTTGATATTCTCGAAAATTGTTCACCTGGATCAGCTATGCTGAAATGTTGATATTCACACACATTGTTCACATGATTCAGCTATGTGAGAATGATGATATTGTCGAACATTGTTCACGTGGATCAGCTATGTGAGAATGTCGATATTCTCGAACATTTTTCACCTGGATCAGCTATGCTGGAATGTTGATATTCACACACATTGTACATATGGTTCAACTATGTTAAAATGTTGATATTCTCGAACATTGTTCACGTGGATCGGCTATGCTGGAATGTTGATATTCACACACATTGTACACATGATTCAGCTATGTGAAAATGTTGATATTCTCGAACATTGTTCATCTGGATCATCTATGCTGGAATGTTGATATTCACACACATTGTTCACATGATTCAGCCATGTGAGAATGTTAATATTCCCACACATTTTAAACATGGATCAGCTATGTTAGAATGTTGATATTCTCGAACATTGTTCACCTGGATCAGCTATGTTAGAATGTTGATATTCTCGAACATTGTTCACGTGGATCAACTATGCTGGAATGTTGATATTCACACACATTGATCACATGATTCAGCAATGTGAGAATGTTGATATTGTCGAACATTGTTCACGTGGATCAGCTATGTGAGAATGTCGATATTCTCGAACATTGTTAACCTGGAACAGTTATGCTCGAATGTTGATATTCACACACATTCTTCTCATGGATCAGCTATGCTCGAATGTTGATATTCCCATACCTTGTTCACCTGGATCAGCTATGCTGGAATGTTGATATTCACACACACTGTTCACATGATTCAGCTATGTGAGAATGTTGATATTCTCGAACATTGGTCACGTGAATCAGTTATGCTGGAATGTTGATATTCACACACATTCTTCACATGGATCAGCTATGTGGGAATGTTGATATTCCCATACCTTGTTCACCTGGATCACCTATGCTCGAATGTTGATATTCACACACATTGTTCACATGATTCAGCTATGTGAGAATGCCGATATTTTTGAACATTGTTAACCTGGAACAGTTATGCTCGAATGTTGATATTCACACACATTCTTCACATGGATCAGCTGTGCTCGAATGTTGATATTCACACATATTGTTCACATGATTCAGCTATGTGAGAATGTTGATATTCTCGAACATTGGTCACGTGAATCAGTTATGCTGGAATGTTGATATTCACACACATTCTTCACATGGATCAGCTATGTGGGAATATTGATATTCCCATACATTGTTCATGTGCATCAGCTATGCTCGAATGTTGATATTCTCGTACACTGTTCACCTGGATCAGCTATGCTGAAATGTTGATATTCCCACACATTGTTCATATGATTCAGCTATGCTGGAATGTTGATATTCACACACATTGTTCACATGATTCAGCTATGTGAGAATGTTGATATTCTCGAACATTGTTCATATGAGTCAGCTATGCTGGAATGTGGATATTCACACACATTGTTCACATGATTCAGCTATGTGAGAATGTTGATGTTCTCAAGCACTGGTCACGTGAATCAGCTATGCTGTAATGTTGCTATTCACACACATTCTTTGTAATATATTGACAAGTTTGTGGCTTAACGTAAGAAAACCAGTCCGTACTATTCTAAACACTCTTACTGTTTATTAGCATTGAACTCTGGTTAATTAGAGCAATGACGTAATCATACTCAAATAGAACCTTCAAAACATTACACTGCTTTCCCCTAAAAATGGGAATATAATCTGTTAAGAGTCTGACTACAGGTTTCCTTGCTCTTTGAGATCTCCTCAAAACTGGTGAAGTTGTCACAGGAGAAACCGTAGGTTTAACACATTCTGAGTAATTACATTCTCATTAGGCTGATTAACAGAAACATTTTCATTAGGAAGATGTACATTTTCATTAACAGAAAAATCATGCAACTCAGGTACACCGACATCTTGCTCGTCAATATCACCTTTCACACAATCATGTGCTTTAATTAAATGATTTGTATGAACATATCTAGTTGTATGACCTGTTCTAACTATATAACTTTGTGGTCCACAAATTTTAATTACAGTACCTGGAATCCACTTATTTATTTTAGAATTACCTCTAGTATTTCGAACACGTACTCTGTCATACTCTATCACGTACTCTATCACGTTTACATTTACTCTCTACAAATTGTGCAATATCAGGTTTTATTAAACTTACCCTGGTTCTTAAACGCCGCTTCACCATCAACTCTGCTGGTGATACACCTGTCGTACTATGAGGTGTAGTACGACACCGTAACAGAAAATTTGCTATTCTATGTTTCATAGACACATCCATTGTACATTGAAGAACTTGTTTTAATAAAGCTTTTTTCACAACTCTAACTGACCTCTCAGCTGCCCCATTGGATTGTGGGTGATAAGGTGGAACCAAAGTATGCTTTATGCCATTTTTATGCATAAATTCAGAAAACTCTACAGAAGTAAACTGTGGCCCATTATCAGACACAGCCTCTTCAGGTAAGCCATGGTCAGCAAAAATTAAACGCAACTCATCAATGTTACGCTCAGAAATAGTAGAGGTCATATGTTTCGCCTCAATTCACTTTGAATGGCTATCAACTACTACAAGAAAATAATCACTACCTTTTTGACAAAAGTCAATATGAATACGCTGAAATTGTCTAGTTTGCCATTTCCAAGGAATCAATGGTGCACTAGGTGGAGTATTTCTCACATTTTGACATACTGTGCAAATTCACACCATCTCTTCAATTTGCTCATCCATTTTTGGCCACCATACACAAATACGATCAATTGCTTTCATACTACATATTCCCGGATGTTCCCAGTGCAATTCTTTTAACATTTCCTCCTTTAAAACTGGAGGAATAATCACCCTGGAACCCCAAAGAACACAATTTTGCTCACAAGACAACTCAAGTCTTCTATTATGATATGGCCACCCTGACATAATAAAGTGAAATACTTTACTAAGTACTCGATCAACATTTGTAGCTTTTCCAATGTCCTTTGCTGTAATTGGGAAATCATCATCAATGGCACTCACTTGATAAATTGCTTTCTCACTACCCTCTCTGGAGTCTCCATGTGGCAACCTGCATCACAATTAGCATGATCTTCAGATCTTCTATATTGAACTTCATAGTCATATGCTGAAAGTATTAACGCCCATCTCTGCATACGTGCTGCTGCAAGGGTGGGAATTGCTGATTTTGGACCCAAAACTGCTAACAATGGCTTGTGATCCGTAATTAAAGTGAACTTTCTTCCATACAAGAACTGGTGAAATTTCTTCACACCGGCGTTCAATTTGTGCATAGTTCTTTTCACTGGAACTCAATGTCCAAGACGCATACGCTACTGTCCTTTATTCACCATTATCCATCACATGACTAATTACTGCACCAAGACCATAACTTGAAGCATCACAAGCCAGTCGTAGTTCACGTTTCACGTCATAGTGTATGAGTAAGGCATCACTGGTAAAACTTTGTTTACAGGATTCATATACATGTACTTGTTGACATGCAGTAGTCCATTTCCATTGGATATTGGTTTGTAAAAGTTTATGTAACGGCGCTAATTTGGTTGCTAAACCTGGTAGAAATGAGTGATAATATTGGATCATACCCAAAAGTGATTTCAACTCACTAACATTGCTTGAAACAGATGCTTGTTTTATAACATCAAGTGTCTCACTCACAGGATGCAAACCACCAGCATTTACTTTCAGTCCTAAGTAGGTATAAAGTAATATAAAGTAATATTGCGAGTACATGAGTGCGTTGGACCCGAGATACCTCACAGACACACAGGAAAGAAACAACTGGAAACCGACACATAGTGACAAAGAGTATGTCGGGAACCGTGTGCAAATGTAAGCTCCACCCATCAACACCTCCTACTTATTATGTTAATTATATGTCACTCATTTAAGTTTACTCATTAATATTCATAGTGTTATTGCTATATAAACATTGTACATTGTACTTGATTTTGAGTGCTTTGTTAGAATAAAGCGTTGTGATAACCAACTCCACTTCACGCCTTTGTTGGCCTTTCTTTTCTCTCCTCTAACCATAAACCTTAGGTCTATGCTCTAACGGACCCTATCTCAAGTGCGTAAGCACATTGTTGGTGCCGAGACCAGGATGTCTATTGAGAGAAACAAGCGATGTAGAGGGGTCACCGCAGTCAAATGACTAAACTTATTCAAAGGACTGAAGATATCGTCACATCCGACACTCTAGTACAACGAAGCACGATTGACAAGTTGAAAGCGACAATTGGAAGCATGACTTCAA